CTTATAATCTAATCCTCAGGGTCAGGCCATGGTGGAATGTGCACGTCACACAATTAAAGCCTATCTTCATAAAACAAAAAAGGGGAGTTTACAGGATCTCCTCATAATCTTGTCCTATACATTTTAAATTTTTTAGCTATTGATCGTGTTGCTCGATCTGCGGCCGACAGGCATTGGCGCCCTTGGTCATCTGACTATGGCTCAGTTATGTAGAAGAATGTCACTACTGGAAAATGGTGTGGCCCCAACCCAGTTCTAGTATGGTTCTGAGGGTCAGTTTATGTCTTTCCACAAGACGCAGATAACCCTGTTTGGGTGCCTGAGTGGCTGATTCGCCATATGAGGAGGGACAGTGATTGTAACAGCCAGAAAGAAGGTCCAATGGGTCTTCAAGAATCTACCCATCCTGATGCCTGTGCATCTGAGTAGCCATATGTGGCCTTTTTTCCTGACCACTAATTATAGTTTGGATCAAGTGGCTATATAAATTTACACTGATCCAAATGACAAGAATTTCACCTTCATCTTAGGCGCTGTATTCTGGTTCCATTCTTTTTGTTGTAACCAATGCTACTAATTTTGGAGAAAGTTTCAATTGTTCTCAGCAGGTATGCCGACTGTAACAACTGTCGTGGGCCATGTACCCCAGGTGTGCAGCAGAGAGGAAAGGAGATTCGTGGATCAAGGCTGCCAGTGCCACTTTCAGCACTGAAGCAACAGTTTTACCATAGCCCTCTCCCAATCTGTAAATACTGCAAGCACAGTGGATCAAATAGCAGGTGATTTGGCTTAGGCCTTAGCTACCCAAAGCACACTTGATTATCTAGTACAAATTGGCATTTTTAAACTAAATTTACAAACTAACCTCCTATAGGAACACTTGAATTTTTGTGAGAAGCTCATATGGCTTCTTGTTCTCTGTCTTTTATACATATCTGTGTTACTGCATCATTTTTCTTCAGATATCCTGGAGTGATCAGTTTTTGAGTTATACACATGCTTTAGCCATGCAGATCATTAACATCTATGAGACCTGAGTGCCACTTGCCAATGCAGAAAGCTTTTTATAAGGACTTCAACTTGTGGGCAGATCATTGGGGTTTGTAGCCCTTGCACTTGGTGCTATTTTGCCACAGCACTGAAGAGGCCCGGGCCAAATTTCTAAGAAGACAGATACTGTCTTTGACTCAAGAGAAAATGCCTCTGCCCACGTGTGGCTGAACAAGCTATTCACCAGTGAAGGGTAAGGCAGAGGGGGCAAATATCTAACCTAAGATAGGAAGGTTACGGGCCTGGGTGACTTCTCCAATGATGGGTAAGGAATTATGTGGATGTCCTCTGCCACCTAAGGCAGGTGTTAGTTTATATTACAAGAAAGGGGGACCTGTAGGGCCCTGCATGGACCCCTGACGTGCCTTGAGCCAGCCTGAAGCTGTTGGCGGGAACTCCTTGCCCAAGGCTTTTGTTGGCACTCTACCCGTTTTGATGACACACACCTCGTGACAACACACACCTGGTAGGGAGGAGCTAAGCCTAAACTTCCTATAATTTTTCTACTGTGCTGTGAGTCAGTATTTAAGCCCGTTCTTTCCCCACTATTATTATTGTTGTTGTTGTTCGTCTCCACCGTTATTGTTTCGTGGGTCCTTTCCATTTTTTTTTTTGTTTTACTTTTCCCTCCTTCATGTTTTCTCCCCGCATGCCCTGCCCTCCCCCGTGTCCCCCCTCACACACATGATCTGGCCCAAGTCAAGGAACAGAAAATAAAATCAACTAAAAATAAACATGCATATCATACACGTAACATAGGTGGAGCAAGTGAAAATACGTAACCCACATATATAACCCACCCGCCAATGTATCGACCACGTGTTTATTTCCCCCCCAACCCCAACCACACCCTGGTAAAGCAAATATAAACATGTTATCCATGTGAATTCATGTGTTTATTGCATGTCCTCATGTTAATTACATGAACTCGTATGTAAACTCGGAGGGCTCCTATGTTTGCTACAGCAGCTCAGATGTTACCCACATGACTTCGCGTGTTACACCAATGCAAACTACCCAGTTACACATGCTAGCTACATGGGATCTCACAGTATGTACATGAAGCTATAATGTAAGTACATGGCCATGTATGGTAAGTACATGAATACTATGCTGTGCACATGGGCTCACATGTTAACTACATGGGCTCATATGTTCACTACACAGGCTCACATGTCAAGAACACAGGTTCATATTTTAACTACCTGGGCTCACGTGTTTACTACAAGGGATCACATGTCAAATACACAGGCTCACATGTTAACTACATGGGTTCACATGTTAACTACACAGGCTCACATGTTAACTACACAGGCTCACATGTTAACTACATGGACATACAAGGCAAAAACATGACCTCATAAGTCAACTGCACAAACTCACATATCGAGAGGCTCACATGTCAACTATACGCGCTCACATGCCATGTACACAGGTTCCAATGTGCACTGCACGAGCTCACATGGAAACACCATGACTCTATATGTGAACTGCATGTAATGGAGGCGGCACTGGCCGGGATGTCATGTGTACACGCGACATACATAAGTGCTGTGGAGCTGGCGCATTAGGATCACAGAAGCCACAGGCACAACATGCCTGTAAAACAAACGACAATCATATAAATCACGGGGACTTCATTTATTCAGCTACATACATGTGTGCACACACTCCTGTTCACCAGAAGCGGCCCTCGCGGCGCAGGAAGCTCACGGCGTCGCAGAAGCCATCATGGTGCAGTGACTCCAGGCGTGCACGGGATGGCGGGAAGAGCGCTCGGGCCAGGCGGGCGACATTGGCAGTGGAGATCTAGGCGGGGCCGGAAATGAGTGTGGGTGGAGCCGGAAGTGTGTGTGGGCTGGGCCGGAAGTGAGGTTAGTGCGAGCATGCTGTGGCCATTGCTGTGACAGGCATGGCCATTGAAGCCCCACACGGCTCACCTCCACATCCTGTCCAGTCACGTGCACGCACGAGCCAAGTCCTCGGCCAGGGTCGCAGGGCGAGATGTCATGGCGTCCACAGAAAGGGGACACGGTGAGGGTGCGACCTCCAGGGGGCAGGGGGAGGCTGCACGAGAGGGCGCCATCTGCCCAGTCCTGGGGATATGGGGGGCCGGGGGACATGTGAGTAATCGCAACAATATACACGCGTGTTTGGGGTCACCTGTCACAGACATGTGTTACCACATCCACCCACTCCGCCCCTTACCGCCCCGCCCACCTGACCCTGGAACTCCACGGGCTTCAGCCCTGAGTAGATGGGGACAAAGCAGCTGGCGAGAAGGACCTGCACATGAGGGGAAACGTGGGACACACATGAGCAAAAACAATACACGCATGTGCAAACATGCGAGACGCATGTGCAATCACAGATGAAACATACATGTAGGAAACACAGAACATGACACATTCTTACACTTGCGGCCACGCCCCCTCACCTGCACGAGGTCCTCATGGGTCGGGAACTGGGACACCAGGCGGTTCTGGAATGTGTTCACCGCAGTCAAGGACACATAGAGCCGGCCCTGCGCCAGGACGTGAGCATGGGCTGGGAGGATCTGGTCCAGGCCGGCCCTGATGGTGCGGGGGAGGGGGGACACATGTGACCCGTGACCCCTGACATGCGACCCACATGCGTGACCCAAGACATGTAACATGTACCATGTGACATGTGCCCCCCCCCCCCCCCCCCTCACCCCCCCATGCACCTCAGCCGCTCCAGGAGGTGGAAGCTGGGTGTGGCCGCACCGAGTGGTTGCTGCCTGGCATCCTCTGCCAGGCTGTGTGCGAAGCGTGTGCAGGCCTGTGGGAAGGGTGGGAACCACACACGTGACCCCTGACATGTAACATGTCACATGTAATATGTCACATGTGCCCCACCCACACTCACCTCCAGCTGCTCAGGGGCAGTCAGCAAGACTGCTGCCACCAGGGCCCCGCCCGACGCCCCTGCATAGCCCCTGACATCACACAGCAGCCCCGCCCCGTGTGCATACAGCCCTGCAGCCACGCCCAGGTGGTAAATGCCCAGGAAGCCACAGGCCCCAAAAGACAGGTGCAAGGGCAGCGCCATCAGGGGCGGGGCGGAGCCTATGGGGTGTGTGGGCGGAGTCTCCTGGGGGAAAGGGATGAGGTCACGTGAGGACGGAAGCCACGCCCCCTCACAAAAAGAATGACAGAAATGGCGCCTCTGTATTCACTGCTGCTCTCCGGGACTACATTTCCCAGGAGGCTGCGCGCTGGACCTTGCTCTCTGTGACGTCACTGGCCGGCAACATCCCCTCCCCTTCCCATGCTGTGGAATTTTCCCCGCAGTCTCGGAGCCCCGCCTGTCTCAGGGTGGAAGGGGACTATGATTCCCAGCGTCCTTTGCTACGCCTACACTAGTCGCTGTCTGTGTCGTCACTGGGGCGCCGGCGACCTTCAGTGTCCCACATAAATGGCTGCTTCTCTGCGTGAAGCCTCTGTTCCCAAGGCCGCTGCCGGGAACTTTGATTCTCTGCGTGCACTACAGGCCCGGGCCTGGCGGTCCTTCTGTGTGTGATGGCACAGGGCGGCGCCTTCTCCCTCCGTGTCTGCAGCAATGGCGGCTCTTTCTCCGCCACGACCGCTGCCCGGGAGTACGACTCCCGGCGTGCACTGCGGGCCCGTGCCGGGAGGTCGCTGTCTCTGTGACGTCACAGGCCGGCGCCCTCCTGCTCCGGGTCTAGGGCAATAGAGGCTGCTTCCTCCCCGCTGTGGCCTCTGACGGCTACTACGACTCCCAGCGTGCACTGCGGGCCGGTGCCGGGCGGTCCCTTTCTCTGTGAAGTCACAGGCGGGCGCCATCTCCCTTCGCCTTTAGGGCAATGGCTGCTGCTTCCTCCCCGCTGTGGCCGCTGAGGGCTACCGGTACTACGACTCCCAGCGTGCACTGCGGGCCCGGGCAGGGTGGTGGTTCTGTCTCTGAGGACAAAAGCCAGCGCCTCCCTGCTCCTCCTCCCCCCACACAGTCACTTCCGGCTATGGTGGCGGCTTTGGTGGATCTGGTGGAGAAAACGCCCACATCTGGTTTCCAGGGGCTGGGGAGGCTGAACATATGTGGTCATGTGTGAACACGTGTGTGTACATTTGTTTGTCCATGTATGGGTGACTGCCTATTCCATATGGTCAGGTGTGTGTGGGTTATGTGTGAACATATGTGTCTGTGGTCACAGGTGTTCACATATATGTGTGTGTTAATGTGTGTGTGGTCACATATGTGTTTTGTCCTATGTAGACACATGATGGCACGTTTGTATGATCTTGTGTGTGTCTGTTCCTTGTCAAGTATGTGTGATGACTCATGACTGTGTGTCTGGGTATGTGTGTGTCGCGTGTCCCACACAAGTATGATGGAGCTCACTGTCTGTCTTCACTTTTAGCCTCGGCCGAGACTGACATCACGCATGTGCTCAACACACGGAAGAGAAGCTGTGGACATGGAAACTTGGAACACAGAACACGGCTGCAAATGGCGAGAATCACGCTGGACGGCACGTATGTACAAAAACACACTCATGTTCACAAGCACAGGCATACACACACACACACACACACACACACACACACACACCCACCTCACACTATGAACAATGCTCATAACACTAGTGCTCAGATATATTTTGTGACCAAGGTTACTGAAACAGTTAGTTTTCTCATAATCCCTCGTGATTTTTCCATTCACAGGGTAAATGCTTTTTGTTTCTCAAGAAGAGCCCTCTGTGCCAACAATAATCCTGGGATTGCCACTGTTGCTAACGACTGTTCTCCAAACATTTTAAACTGTTCTGACTCCTCTCCAAGGTCGAGCTATGACTCTTAATTTACTGATCAACCAAATTCAACATGGTTTTCAATCACTGATATCATGAACTCTAATGAAAGAATAGAAAACTTGGTGACAATCAGAGATGTCTCTCCTGTGTTTTAACCTGGGATAATTTTGGGTGTTGGAAAATGATGTGGTTTCCACGTACACCTATTTTATTCTTTTTAATACTTGCATGGGGCAAAAGTCAATGTGGAGTCTTACCTCTGAAACAGTCATGAATTGCTCTGTGATATCTCGTCCTGGTTTTGAGGCTGACTTTCCTCTGTAGCAAACAAATAGAGAGTTCATGCTCCCTCACAGTTCTATGGGATTTCTGAAGCCAAGACTATATAGTCCCTATTATATCATTTATTTTGTGATAATCACATAGTATTTTTCAATGTGAGTTTGTCTTTGGATAAATAAGGTTATATTGATGTTTTTATATTCTTTGTCACTGAAACATCTTCAAGATTATTTGAAGTAATTATTGGAAGTAAATGCCATAAAATTGAGAATTGAGCTGTGAATTTTAGGATGTATGCTTGTTTGCAAGGGTGGCAAAGAAGACACTAAAATATGGCCATGTGAAATTCTTCCTGTTTTCATTTTATAAACATCATTCTATTTATAGCCTCCTTGGAAGTCTCTGCTTTTACTCTGCTCACTATGAGGAAACACGTTCTTCTACCATATTCTGCAAGTAGGAAATCTTCAAGCTTAATATGCATAAGAAACTACTTGAATTCATCCAACTTGTATTAATAAATAACTTTATTTTACTTCAGGAATCCAAAAAGACCAGAAGTAATATAGGGAAAGAAAAAATAGGGACAAGAGAGGAAGAACAGAAGAGATGTGAAAAAATCCTTCTGTTCATTAGGTACATAAAAATTTTAGCAAAACGCCTAAGGATTAAAAGCAGGCAGAGTGGTAACAAAATAGGAATATGCATAACTAAGTCTTTGGATGGACAATAAAGATTTAATAACCAAAATGCCCAGGTACAAAAGAGTAAAACATACTTGGAGAAATAATAATATATATTGATTGCTATAGCGCTTTAGCATTTATTGGGATGTACCTCAATATCCTGGGAATCTGCAGAGACATTTATTAAAGTACACATGCCTATACAGATATCCACACATATAAAAATGTATCAATATTTTTAAACATAAAAATCTTAAATGACACAGAGTCCCAAATGAGACGTGATGGACTTGGATTTACCTAAGACACTCATCCATGGAAATATTTTTGAAGGTATTTGTAATGGGTTCAGGCTTACAACAGGCATGCTAGTCGACTGATAAAAATGTCTCATCTAAGGGAAAGAAAGAGATAAACCAGGTCACATACATGGTCCTCTCATGGCCTTATATTCTTCAGGAAATATTCTTCTCAAATGTTCTTTCTCTAAAGCTCTCTTTAAGATTTCTCCTCAAAAGTTCTTTCAAATAATTTTCCCTGCATATGCTCTCTCTAAAAGTGCTCTGGCTCCAAACTCCGGTAATCACAGATAATGAAATGAGAGATTTTATAATTAAGAGATTAAATAATTTGATGGTATTGCATACTTGACTCCCACACGATTGGGTGACAATCCAGTGATCAGTAATTATGTAATCATAGATTGACTAACATAATAAGTAAACAAATAATATGATGACACCTCACAATATACATCAATGATGTGGAGCCCGAATAGAAGATAGATTTGAATAATTAAATAATCAGATAGTGAGCTGGTCTGGCAACCTTGAACCCCCAAAAGGTGGCTCCAAACTGCAGTGTAAATAATAAAATGATTAATTAATTGGACAGTTTCACACCATCAATTCATTGTGTGACATGACTAATGAAGAACATCATCAGCGATTTTAAATATTCAATAATATAATAATGAGATGATCAGATGACCTTGCATAATGAACTCTGTTTGGCTAATGACATCTTGTGGCACCGGGTTTCTGAAGTACTGCCAAGGCAGCTTGAGAACCTGGTCTCCTGGCAGCAGCAGCTACTACTTCACCTGCTGAGCCAACCAAGAAGGTAGTTGCACACTGTGATGTCATCCCTGGCAATGCTTCTGTGATGGTGAGGGGCCTCTAATGCTGCCATTTTTTCTCCTCATAGTAGAGCACAGCGAAGGTGGGAATGTGGAGGAGGAGCAGCTAAAGACAACTGAGACTGCCACACTCAGCTCAGTTGAATTGTTGGCCCTTTTCTCAATGGACATCATGTCATCTTCTGTACTCTATATCCCAGTGACCATGGAACTCTGTGCACTTCATATTCCCGGGCATCTGCTGTAAAAAACTGCAATAGCCAAACCCTAACCTCCTGGCTCTACCCATATTCGATGATGTCATTGCACTTAAATATTAAATAGGTCAATAATTGATAGCCCTGCCTAGTTAATACCCACAAGTTGACACCAAACTGAAGTGATAATTGATGAAGTAATAGCATATTTAATGTCTAAATTCTTAGACAATTAATTAGGTGATATCACATAATTTGCTCCAGAGAGTACTGTTGTCTTGTTCACTTGTTTGGTCAGGTGTACCTTCCCTAGATTCTGGTGGTGTCATGCTTGTCTTTGTACTGGTGCATGTTTTCTTGTATTGTTGTATTCCCATCGATTCTTCCAGTAGAGGCATGTGGGTTTCTCTCTTTATCCTACTCTCTCTTGGTATCTATATTTTGTCCCAGAGTTCAATGTCTGTAAGTCTGGTTGCTAGCTTCCTTGGAGGTTTCTTCTTCATCACAGGGACATCTATGGAGTTTGAAGATCAGGCAATTGAGGCCTAAGAGTAGTCCTTCATGAATAGGTGTGTACAGTGTGCTCAGAGCAGAACCAGACACTTCCAGGTATTTGGAGAGGTTTTTGGATGTGCACCCTCAACCAATCCTGAGTATTTCTTTTAAGAATAGATAAATTTAATGCACTGATGAGATCCTCCAAGATGGCTCCAAGAAGAAGACACCCTCCCGGACTCCTGGAGTCAAACATGTCCGATCTCTTGAACTCTGCATTTCCACCAGCCTCCTGGAGGCATCTGTTCTGAGGCTACGAAGGTTATTCTAACATGGTGTTCAGGGGAGATGTTTGAGGTGCTCTCTGCCAGACTGGCCACTACTAATAAGGACACTGCCACCTTTTATAACATTTCCAAAAATGTACCAGCCAACAAAACACAACAATAGGCAAGGACACACACGCACGCGCGTGCACACACACACACACACACACACACACACACACACACACACACAGAGAGAGAGAGAGAGAGAGAGAGGAACATTCAGAGAAGTCATTGTGACCACCTTATCTGGAACTGAAGCATGATGTTCTGGAAAGATTCCTATAAATGCCCAGTTGTCAGTCCCTTTAAACCCTTACCAGACCACCAATACAAGACACGCTATTCTTGCTTTGAAAATGCTCATCGCCTCTCCTAGGACTGTCTGTCCAGGGAACAAACAGAGAATAAACTCAGGTGTGTGGCAAGGTGAGTGAGTTAGGGAAAAATCAGGACAAGCCACCTGCATGGGTACTCTGCACTAAAGAGGAAACCTGTTGTGGAGGTAGAGACAAGGAGTCCTGGCCTGGTCTGGATGATACCTACAGGTCTGCCTTTCACCTTTTTGAGAATCTTCAGTCCATATGCTACACTATGTGCTTCTACTCATGTTCATGGCCTTGAATTCCATGCCAGATTGCTTATGATCATAAGGATGGTGCCTCCCAGACCACTTGAAAATTTTTGGGGTTTTTTCTCTGGATCAGAACCTTTTTTAAATGGATCTCAGTCACTGAAATATACCTGTACCCAAAATCTAGAAGAAAAGCATGTCCAAAAGAAACTAAAAGAAATTGAGACAGAAGAGTTGGAAAATGAAGAGAAAGGTTGTCAGTCAAGGAATCATGGATGGAAGAAATCTGTCAAAATAGAAAATCTGGCCTTGAGACCCTGAATATAGAACAGAGATATTGGGAACTGTGTGTGGCTTTCCAAAAGTTAGGTGTGGGTAATTCTGTGGTTGTTTAGGAAAAAAGATGGGGGACAGATTGTACTGTGCACATACTGCTGGCAGTGGGAAGGGCAATTACACATATCTGGCAAGATATAGGCCAGGATGCAGTATCCTTGTAGATTTTTTGCCCTGATCCTGCCTGACATGGGCAATGTGAGCCTAGGAGACTGAGTTTCATGAACACAGCAGATTAAGCCCATTGTGCCCAAACTTGGGAACCTGGAACCTGCTTCCTCCAAATACTGTCCTGTGCCAAGGATAATGCAAAAAACATGCATAGGTCATGGGGTTCCCGCACTGAGAGCTCCTCCCTAGGCAGCCTGCAGCCACAAAATAGAAATACCAGGACATGCTGGCATGTTTTGCAAACACATTCTGTTGATGGCAGTAGTGCACCCACAATGGCAGCTTCCACGGGAGTGGTGTACACTCCTGAGCCCTAAAAAAATAAATAAAAAATAACAACAAACATACAAACTAACAAAATTATTTTGCATCATACTCCAAAATAGCCACCAAACAACCAGCCTGTGCAGAACTGGAACACTTGGACTGCTGCAATGGATGAATACTAAGGAGTGTGGAGGGACACGATGCTCAGGTAAAAGAACACACAGGGTCATCTACTCCAATACCGTGAAACAACTTGGTTTTGGACCCTGCAATAACTCTGAAGACCCCAAGAGAGAACAGAGGTATGCTTACTGGCATGCCTGCATACCACAGTTACTTTATCTTAAAGAAACCTCATGCCAGGCTGTAGCATAAGGAAGGAGCTTAACAAAGCTCATGGACATGCGTTCTGGGGCCTGAGAGATGCCCCTAGCTGCCCAACAAAGTTATTCTGAAGGCTCCTTCCCACAAACATCTAAAATCCTTAAGCTCTCTGCTTAACCATGGCAATCCATAGTTCCTTCAGCTGCCAGGCTGGTATTTGGTCCACTAGATCATTGCAAATGGGGCAAAACCAAACTTTCAATTAAGCCTGACAGCCAAGAAATGGACTCCCAGGCTGACACAGTGCTGGAAGTAAAGCAGGGATGAGGTATCCAAGAGTAAAGGGCAAACAGGAAGGTTTGCTGGTGACACAGGTGTGAGGATAGCCCACCTCAATGGGGTTCTAAGCTCAGCACTGGCTACACATCTGACAGAAGGCTCATCTGTAATGGCCATAAACCAAAGTGCAGGCAGATGTGTGCAATCATGAGGGATCCCGTTTTGTGATGTACACATGAGAAAGCAGAATGGACACTAGAACTTTTGGTCTTCATTACCATGGTACCCCTCAACCATTGTTCAGGTGGAATGCTGCTACACATCATCTGCATCAGGAACCACCAAGGGACATCCATTACCTTGGCCCAGGTATCAGGATGCAGAGATCCATAGATATGGACACAAGGACAAATTATAACAATACATATTCAATCTCACCTGCCTCCTGGCTAAGGGTCCCCCAACCTCAACATCTCCTAGACATCAGCCGAAAACAGTTGCTAGATACTTTCAGTTATGTTACAATCTATTTCCTGTCCACAGCATTATACTACACAGCCTTCAGAAGACACTACTTAGGAAACTTCTATTTCCTTTCTCCAAAGTCCTCAAGACCCTCTCATACATGTAACTTTTTGCGTCTTATGTATACATCCATCTACCTGCGTTCTAGCATAGTCAGAAGACATTCAAGTGATCTGGAAAAAGGCATACTAGACACCTAGGGAAAATACACAATTATCAGTTGACAAAACAGGATGCCTAGAGCGTAAATCCTCCCTTGTCAAGCACAGGGACTTCTCACAAAATTCTAGGTCGCCTGAAAGATGCCCTCAAGGTGCCTTCATCCTTTCTCTCCAGGGCACTGGACACATGTAAAAGAAGCAGGTGTCCATAGACACAATGGGGCAACACATCAACTTGCATGTAAAAACATCATCCCACACCAAAACAGCTGAAACTGCACACACAGGTCCCTCTTGACTTGTACCTGTCCACCTTCATATCTACCTTCTCCAGTATCTGTGTCTCCTTCCTGACTCCATATAAAACTCCCATCAATGGCATCCAGGGCAGCTAGGCCTGCCTGTCTGAATCCAGATGATATACCATATTCTGTAGGGAAATACTTTTCAGTACACAATGGAGAGCCAGTCTCCTATGAACACAGAATACTGAGGCCCACATTCCCACTCTTGATATCTTCTAAAATGACTGCTAGTTGAAGACCAGTGTCTCAGGCTCCTGTAGACAACCTTGTCTAATCTTTTCCAATTCATCATCTTTTACAAAACTTCCTGAGAAGAAATGGAAGAAAAAAACAAACAAACAAGGGGAAGAAATGAACAAATGTCTTAAAGTAAAGAAAGTACAGAAAGCCAGGAAAAAAAAAAAAAAAAGCAGGTGAAGGAAACAGTTCAAGACTTGAAAACTGAAATAGAGAAAATAAAGGCAACACAAAACGAAGGAATGATGGAAATAGAAAAACTGGGCAAAAAAATCGGGAACTACAGATACAAGCAAAACCAACAGAATTCAAGAGATGGAAGAGAGACTCTCAGGTGCAGAAGATAAACTAAAAATACATTCATCGACCAAAGAAAATCATAAATCCAACACATCCTTAAA